AGGAGGGTCTCAGGCTGGGGGGCTGGCGGCAGCGCCTGGACCACAGCAGGGCGGGCAGGCAGGAGCTGGCAGGTGGCCCAGAGATGAGGCAGTAGGAGCAGCAGTTAGAGGCAGGGCCGGTCGCCCTCACCGCACCAGGTGGAAGGTGAGCCAGTACATGAGTAGAGGCTGCGCAGCTGCCACCGCCATGGTCAGGTACATGCGCAGCTGGTTCCGTGCTCCGCGCACTGGGACTCCCTCAGCCGCAGCCTCGGCCAGGATCTTCAGCCGCAGCGTCCGGATCTGGGGCCGGTAGAAGTTACCCTTGAGACCTCTCGGCCAGCGGGGGCACCTGGACACTTTCAGTCCCTGACCCTCTGCAGCCTCTACTTTCTCCCTCCCTAAACAGGGGCAGCTAGGGCTCTGCTTCTGGGGCTCCTTGGCTTCCCTCAAATCTAATAGATGGTGATACTCCTCCCCAGGCCTTGTGAGAAAATGTGAGGGTTCAAACCCAAGCCAGGCCCCTAAGTGAGTGAGGTGAGGAATAGCACTGTGATTACCCTGCCTGAACCGGGTGGCCAGGCTCGGCTCTGGCTGCTGTCACCTGCTTACGTTGGTCAGGTGGTAATTTAACACAAACCAGAATGCCTTTTATTTTCAATCTTGTAAATAACATTTAAGTCAAAGTTTATGTCCTCCACTTCCCACACCAAGTCATCCAAGTATCCAGAGGTGCAATTGTGATCCCCATTTTACAAAAGAGGAAGCTGAGGCTGTAAAAGAGGAAGTGATCTGCCCAGGATCCAGCTAAGCTTGCAAACCCAGGCCTAGTGAATGCTAGCGCACTTAACCAGCCCCCACTAAAAGCCCTCGACAAGCTGCTTCAAGGGTGTCGAAACTGTTAATCCTAAAGGAAATTCTGGCAGGAAAGTCCACCATGTAAGAAGAGCAGTGTGATGGTAAGCACCCACCCACCTCAGCAGTCTGGCTTGCTCCTCTCTTCCTTTAGGCCCCAGCTTGGACACCCCCTCTTCCAGGAAGCCGTCCTGACCCCCAGGCTGTGGTAACCACTTCAGGGCTTCTCAGTTCAGCAATGCAGCTCTGGTCTAAACTCCCCACCTGACAGCCTCTGCTTGGATGTCTCCAGGGGAACCCAACTCTGCCCAAGAGGCCTGTGTCTTCAACCTCATGCTCCCTGGAGCCCCAGCTCACCATGAACACAAAGATAGACACGCAGCACCAGCCCAGCACCAGGTAGTAGCCAATCTTCCCAAAGAGCAGGCCCATGACGACCCCGCCAATCATCCTGGGGGGAAGGGAGAAGGCTGGTGTGAGGAAGAGTCCCAGGCCTGGGGCTGGTGGTGGGGAGATGGTGGTACTCACCCGACATATTTGTAGCCCAAGAAGGCCACCAGGTCAATAGTGGTGAGGTCGGTGTTGACGGTGACCAAGTAGAGGCTGAGCAGGATGGCCAGCACCTCCAGCGTCAGCCAGGCCAATGCGGAGCTGGCCTGTAAACCTAGGAGATCGGGGGAGAACCTGCCGGCACCCAAGCTGTCATTCAACTGACCTGCTTAAACCCTCCCTAAACATTCACTTGGGGACAGCCTGTGTTGGATAGGGCTGGAGACCCAACAGTGACCAAGATGGATGTGGGCCCTGTCCTCATGGAAGTCCCATTCCAGGAAAGGCAGACCTGTCCTCAGTGACACCCTAGACACATCAGGGCTGGGGCTGGGGAAGCACAGGGTAGGGGAGGTGCCTAACCCAGCGGGGAGGGGGTGTCAGATAGGGCTTCCCAGAGGAGAGGACACCTGCACTGAGGCCTGAAGGAGTAAGGAGCTGGTTGGGAAAGAAGGACCTTGGCCTCTGCCATATTCAAATGACAGTTATTTTCAGTGCCACAAAGGAAATGAACAGGGGCGTATGAGCAAGAGGTGGGGGCTTGACCGAGCCTGGGGGGGTGGGAAGGCTTCCCCAAGGAAGTGACATTTGAGTGGAGACATTCTGAGTGAGCAGGTGCTCAGCACGTGATGATGTAGGGGAGGAACATACTCCTGAGCAAAGAGAACTAGATTCAGAGGCCCTGGGATGGTGGTGCCGGGCCCAGTGGAGGCTGGAAAGAGGGCCAGAGTGGTGCAGCAGAGTGGGGAGGGACAGAGAAAGGCCTCGTGGGGGGCAGTGTGGCGCTAAGGAGCTAGGGCTTCGTCTGGGGCCAGGGGAGCTATAGACAGCTTCTGAGCAGGGTGGGACATGGTCAGGCCTGCTGTCAGGCAAGACCTTCCTGGCTGCTGCTGGAGTCAGGGTGCAGGGGGTGTGGGGTCAGGGCAGTTAGCTAGGAGAGGGAGAGGATGAGGCTGGATCTAGTGGTGGAGGCCAAGGGGAAAGATGGATTTAGAGAATCACCCAGCACAGTTGCCACATGTGGGTGGGAGAGGGTGACCCTGAGTATGACACGTAGGGAGCAAGGTGGGGCTGTTCTGAGAGAGGGAACCAAGAGACTCCTGACTGCCCCCTTAACCCCCAAAGCCCATGCCACTCTACCCAATCGAGTCCTCTTACCTATCCTGGGTTCCCAATGCCAGGCCAGCCACCAAGATGTAGGTGATAAAAGCCATAGCTGTGGGACGTAGACACACAGACACAGGTCAGAGGAAGGACCATCCTGGGCCTCCAGGCACCTAAACCTCTGCCCAAGACATGCCCACCCAGAGGGAGGAAGGTGCCAGGCAGTGGTGAGTAGGGTGAAACCTGGAATGTAGAGGTCAGGAGCGTTGACATCGAAGCGGGGGGCCACTGGCGTGTCCTGCTGGTACTGCACCTCCCAGTCCTGTAGGGATAGTGGGGGAGCAGGCAGGACCCCCAGAGCTGGGCTCCTTCACCCTGCTTACAGGCCCTCTCTTAGGGCGAATCACCCATCCTGCCTCTCACGCTTGCCAGGCTCTGACTCAACCCCCACCCACCACCCCCTACCCAGAGCCTGTCTCCCTCTCTGACCATGGACCCCTCAGGAGGGTAATACTCTCACCTGGTGCAGGTACGGAAAGAAGAGCAGCCCCAGTTTTCTGCCCACGTACAGGGTGTCCACAGCGAAGTAATACTTGAGCTTAGTGACAGGGATGAAGCGGTCAATCTGGGGAGGCAGAGCTCTACCTGAAGCCCTGGCCCCATGGCCCCAGCAGTCCCCCACTCCCACCAGCCCAACCCACTCACGTTTTTATCCACCAGCTCCTTGCCCTGTGCGGCTAGGCTGCTCCCATAGGCCATGGCCATGTTGGACACAGGATCAGCCAGGAAGGCTGCCTGGGGGGACGCGGAAGCTGCAGGGTAGCCCAGGCCACTGGGCCCCCGCTGGGCCCCATAGCCCCGGCTCTGGGCCGAATTCTGGGCAGAACTTGTGTCATCAAAAAGCTGGTGGGGATCAGCCATGCCCAGCTGGGACACAGGGATCCTCCGCTTTGAGGCTGTAGGGGAGAGAGGTGGAAGCCTCATTCATTCTGTGGGTACACTTGCTCCCACCCTGCCGCAGTGGGGAACTGGCTTTCATGTTAGATGGGCTGGCCAGTCAAGTGTGTGCAGGCTCTGCTTGCTATTCATCCATCCAGTAAATATTGCAATAATTCAGCTTCAACTGAGCACTAACGACGTATCAGGCCATGTTTTAAACACTACAGGTTAACTCATTTAATCCTCATAACAACCCATTGTGTTGATGCTATTAGCACCCCCATTTTACAGATGGGAAAAGTGAGCCCTAAAGAAGTTCAGGTCCTTACCTAAAGTCATACAGACAGTATGAGGCAGAGCCAGGGTTCAAGTTTTTTAAAGGTCTCTCTGGCTTCATGTTGGGGGTGGGGACAGAGAGGGGAGGAGAGAGGAATCTGTTGGTGGTCCAGGTAGAAGACCAGGATGGAGGGTGGGGACTGAGGGGAAAGGGGTTGCTGCTTCTGGATGGATTTTGGAGGCAGGAGGGAGGGCCAGGACCTGCTGGAGGCATGCTTAGCTTGGATGGGGTAAGGAAGAGAAATGAAAGAGGAATATGGAGACAGCCAATTTGAACCCAGCACTCTGGCTCCAAGGCCCCTACTCCTAACCAATAAGCGATGTTGCTGCAGCCAATATTCACTGAGTTCTTCCTATGTACCAGGCACCAATCTGGACACAGGGAACAGGGTGGTAGGGTTACAATGGATGGGGTAGGAGGCAAATCATCGGCATTGTTACTTTCTCTGGGCCTCAATTCTCTCCTCTGTAGAATGGGGTTAGCAGTTCAAGGTGAAGTGACACCAAAGCAAAGTGACACTCATAAACAGCTAAGCCCCTGGCCTGGCACCTTTTATCAATTATGACCCCCTCAGCCCTTCATCTCAATTATTTGTAGCTGGAAAACTGACCTAGGTGACCTCAATCCCAGTGCACGCAACAGTGGTTCAGGCCCCCGCGTCCTCAAATCCCATTTCTCTTTTCTCTCTCCCAGTTTTAGCTTAAAGAGTCACTTCCTAAAAGCTTTGGTGTGAGCCCTTCCCTCCCTGTCACCCCCTCAGCCAGTGGCATTTGGGGTCCTGCCTCCTAAAGGCTCTCTGCACCACCAGGTCGAGGCCATTATATTCTGCTCTCATCCAACTTAAGCCCTCACAGCACTGAATGCATTGCTCCAAATGCCAACTTCCAACTCTGCTCTCTTGGCTTCCAAGACACTGTACCTGTCTTTTTCTCATTCCTATATGAGTCCCACAAACACCTACTGAGTACCCCCCTGTGTTAGGCTCTGATGCAGGTAGCAATGATCAAAAGGACAAAAACTCCCGCCTTCATGGACCTGATGATCTCACGATCTGTCCCTCTCAATCAGTGACTTATTTCCAGCTCCCTGAAATGTGTGACCTAATTTTCCACCCTTGGCTTGTCTTCTGCCTCTCACCTAGGACGATAGCACCCACACCCACAGCTTTCACAGTGACACTGTGCCTTCGGCTCTGAGCTCTGTCTTCTCTCCTGTAGCCACACCCAGATCAGGCACTTCTTGGCAATGCCCTCTGGCTGCCCCTGGGCCCTGACCTCAGTCCCCAAATCCCTGATTCCCCTTCTGTCTGGCATCCAACCAACCAATCGCTAATGCTCACCCACTGTGTCTCAATGTTACCCTTCCCTCTCAGACTGTGTCATCTTGCACCTCACTTAAATGTCCTCCTCCTGTCCATTCTTAGCTGCACCAACCTTCTCTCCAGTGGGCAGGCAGAGTGATCTTTTTAAGTGCAAATAAGAACATTTCCTGTCCTCTGCCTAAGATCAGGGCTCACGGTGTTGAGGAAATCCAAATGCCTATGAGGCCCGGCAGGACCCATCCCTGCCAACCACCCTCGTTTACTACCTTACTGATCCTCGGACAGTGGCCTCCTTTTGGACCCTGACTCTGCCAAGCTCCTAGCCCCCACAGCCTTTTAAAAAATATATGTTTTATTGATTTTTTTTTTTTTTTTTAGAGAGAGGGAGAGGGAGAGAGAAACACTGATGAAAGAGAAACATCCATTGGCTGCCTCCTGCAGACCCCCTACTGGGGACTGAGCCAGCAACCTGGGCATGTGCCCTAACTGGGAATCGAATGGTGGATGGGACAACACCCAACCAACTGAGCCACACAGGCCAGGGCCCCCACAGGCTTTTGAACATGCAATGCCATCACCTTGGAACACCTTCCCATGATTAACAACTGCCAATGTAGCACTCAGGCCTCAGCTCAAATGTTTCCTTCTCAGAGAGACCTTTCTCACTCCTCAATATAAACACTAGCCCCACCTTGTTCTTTCTCATAATATCCAGTGATTCTTTGTTCCCTTCTGAGCACTTACCACAATTGCTAGATATATATTCATTTGTCTACTTGTTTACTCGGCAGAAGCCTCCAATGCTTTTCCCTCTCACCATAAATCTCCTTCTCTGGGTTAATTTCTCATTAGATATACCTCTTCCAGGAAGCTTCACTGACACCCCCAGGTTAGGTCACAGGTGTAATCTGGGCCATCACAACACCTTCCTCCCAGCCATAACCACTCTGATGGCGCTACCCCCACCCTGACCCTAACCCCTCTGCCTGTTCTGCTGCTCTCATCAAAATGTCCATCACTCTAGTCTGCTGCTGTCTTCTGCTCTGCACTGGTAGCTCCATGAGGACAGGAACCTGTCGGGGCACCGCTGTATCTCCAGCATCACCCACCACAGGACCAGCCAGGCACCTTACTGATGGTTGAAGGGAGGAATGAGCGCATCACACTGTCTCCCTCAACAACCAGGCCTCCTCAACTCCTAGTCACATCCTGGATTAGTCCTTTTAGGGCCCAAATTACCTGGCTGACTTGTGTCTGAGTTTGCTGTCTGTATGCGCACTAAACTTGGAGCTGTAAGTTAACAAGGACCAATGCTATTCTGGTCACTACCAGGTACCCAACTTCCAGCACGAGGCCGGCGCAAGGGAGCTGAGGCAGGGTATGTTGAACGAATAAATGAGATACACTCAAGGAGATTAAGAGGAATTCAGACATACAAATTCACAAAGATGGAAAAAGGAGGTTAACAGCTCAATAAACACAAGTTAAAATCTTAAATAAGGGATAACCATGGTCCTCTTCCCTCACGGGGGGCTATGAACGCTGTCCTAAGGCATGGGCGACAGCCCATGGCCACGAAAGGGTAGGGGGTAGGCTGATCGCTTACTGCAGATCAAAGGAAGTCGCGCTTTACTGTTCATCATACAATATCCTGCCCAAAGTTGTTTTCTTTCAAAATAATTTCCTAAAGAAAAGAAGACTCGACCCCAAGGCACCCCTACCCGGAGCTGGCACCCCTGTCCGATGCACACCTCGAAGCTCTAGATCCCTGACTTCGTGACCTCAGACCCGCAGCGACCTCACCAACTGCCGCGGCGGCCCCGCCACTCCCCCGCCCTCCCGATCACCTCAGCCGGCCACGTACGCCACTTACGCTGCCGGGGAGTCCCCGCCGCCGCCAAGCCTGCCGGGTGCATCCTTAGCCGCCGCCGCCGTCGCCCCAGCCGCGGTTCGAAATGTGCCCGCCCGGCTCCCGTAGCCACGTCCTACCGGCGACGCGACAGCCAATGGGCGTTACGATAAGTCAGAGGCCACGCCCTCTTGCGGAGGCGTGGACGAGTTGGCTGTAGGTAAGAGGGGAGGGCTGGAGGCCCGGGGCGTGAGCCGAGAGTCAGAAACGGAGCCGCAAGAGGGCGGGGCAGGGAACAACCCTAGGAGTAGACGGTGTGGTGCATGATGGGAAATGTAGGTATCGAGCGACGAGGCCGATGGGACATGGAGTCCTCCACGGACAGACGCGTCTCCGAGAGCTCGCTGAAGCCAGGGAAAGGTGCGGAGCAGGGAAGGAGAAGTCCGTTTGTGTTCCGGAGCGGCTAAGCGGAGTGGTGCGGGCTCTGACCCTTATGTAATCTTGGTAGACCTTAGATATTAAAGTAAATGTGTAGAGTGAGAAAAGGACATTCAGCAAGTTAGGCGGGAAGAACCAAGGTGTCTGTCTTGGAACATATCTTTAGACACTTCCCCAGAAAACCATAAAAATGCTTTGCGTTGTGACCTGGCTTTCCCAGTCCTCCAAAAACACTCTCTACACCCCCCAGCACTCACAGCACACAAAGGCACACCTGCAAGTGAGAAGCCCTGAGAAGTAAGTTTCCTTAGTCTCTCCTCTCTTTGTCCCTCGGTCTCCCCGTGTGTCTCACTCGGTCTCCCCCTTTCTCTCCCCGCTCAGCCTCCCCTTTTCTGTCCCTCACTCTCCTCCACTTATCTCAGGCAAAGATAATGGTAGAAGTGACTTCTGGGCAGTGATAACACTCCGGAAGGATGTCAGCAAGAGACTGTCACTGTGGCTTTCCCTTTCCTCCTCTGAGACATTGTCTTTTTGGGGGACCTCGAGGACTGTTCTGGTCTCTCAGTTATGAGTCCTGGCTTAGTCACAGGCTTTCTTTTTGAGTGAGGTGCCCCCATTCCTGTCCTGCACCTCTGGATTAGCATCTGTTCCTTGGGCTCTACCACCATTTTCTCATCTTCTGAATATTTTTTATTAGTAAAGCAAGAGTTTTAGCTTTCTGCTGGCCTTGTGTTCACATGGTCACACCTTACCAGTTTTGTGACTACTCCATTTTTAAGCCTAAAATTTCTCATCTGTTTAATGGAAATAATAGAGGAGGGGTTGAGGATTTCATACAACCTCATGTGTCCACAGGGCCTGACATGTTGAAGCCTTTGATCACTGGCCCCTACTGTTACTGTTGTATTATCAGGCGTCTCTTCCTGTGAGTTCTCAGCCCCAAGTTGGGTTCTTCCCCAAGAGCTGCGGCAGTTTTATAAATAGAACCAGCCGGGGTATGTCTGAGCTGGGCCCCCAGCCCCACTCCTGTGCCAGTCGGATGTGGTCAGGATTCGGGGCTGCGCTCCGGAAGGCAGAGAGTTCCAGAGGGAGGGGGATGTGGAGAAATGTACAGAGAGAACAGGAAAGGAAAAATTCCCTCTTCCGTGGAGCTGTGGATCTGTGGATCTGCCTGGAAAAGAGACCCTGGCTCATTCCTGTCCATCCTTAGTCTCTCACTTCGGGTATCTCCTTCCTCTGGAAGCTCTCTTGATCTCTCAAAAGCTGAGAGAGCTGCCTCCTCTGGGCTCCTCAGGGCTCCCCAGTCCTCTAGGCATCCGCCATCCCAGCCCTGGTCACTCTGCCTGTATTTCTCTCTGGGCTCTCACTCTGGTGAAGCACTGGGAGCCCCATCAAGGCAGGTTCCAGAGCTGACTTGGTCACTCACTGCTGCGTCCCCAGCATCACCCAGCAAAGGGCCGGGCACAAAGTGGCTCCTAAGCAAAGATTTGGTGAAGAACTAAAGATCCCGACTCTGTCCTGAGGGCGCAGGAGGCACCTGTCCCTGTGGCGTCCTTCGTTGTGAATCAGACCTCCCTGCGGCGGACGCAACTCCACTCCAGAGCGCACGGCTCGGCGAACGGCGCGAGGACTGGATGTCCGTTTGTCCCGTTGTAAGACGAGCGCCGTCTTCGTGGCGGAGCGGGACGGCGCGGAGGAGCTGGGACGCGACTCCCGGGGCCGCGAGCAGGAGAGAGCTCGGATTCTTTCTGACCAAAGGAGTCGAGACGCCTGGGACGCCGAGCGGGAAGGGATGGAAGGAAAGGCAGCATGGCCCCGCTCTTTCCATCCCGCCGGTCCGCTGGGTCCCGGAGCGCTGAGCTCCACCCTCTCATGCTAACACCTGGCAGCGGGGCGTGCCTCAGTTTCCCAGAGGCGGGGCGCCTCT